TGTTGACCTTCATCCGGGAAGAACATCCGGGTATGGCCTACGCTCGTCCATCCTCTAGAGGAGGACAGAGCCGAGCGCGAGTGTTGACCTTCATCCGGGAAGAACATCCGGGTATGGCCTATGCTCGTTCATCCTCTTGCGTAGGACAGAGCCAAGCGCGAGTGTTGACCTTCATCCGGGAAGAACATCTGGGTATGGCCTACGCTTGTCCACCCTCTTGAGGAGGACAGAGCCGAGCGCGAGTGTTGACCTTCATCTGGGAAGAACATCCGGGTATGGCCTATGCTCGTTCATCCTCTCGCGTAGGACAGAGCCGAGCGTGAGTGTTGACTTTCATCCGAGAAGAACATCCGGGTATGGCCTACGCTCGTCCACCCTCTTGAGGAGGACAGAGCCGAGTGCGAGTGTTGACCTTCATCCGGGTATCGCCTACGCTCATTCATCCTCTTGCGTAGGACATAGCCGAGCGCGAGTGTTGACCTTCATCCGGGAAGAACATCCGGGTATGGCCTACGCTCGTCCATCCTCTTGCGGGTGACAGAGCCGAGCGCGATTGTTGACCTTCATCCGGGAAGAACATCCGGGTATGGTCTACGCTCGTCCATCCTCTTGTGGAAGACAGAGTCGCGCGCGAGTGTTGACCTTCATCTGGGAAGGACATCTGGGTATGGCCTACGCTCGCCCATCCTCTTGCGTAGGACAGAGCCGAGCACGAGCATTGACCTTCATCCGGGAAGAACATCCGGGTATGGACTACGCTCAACCACCCTCTTGAGGAGGACAGAGCTAAGCAGGAGTGTTGACCCATCCGAGAAGAACATCCGGGTAGGGCCTATGCTCGACCACCCTCTCGGGTAGGTCCTTTACTTCTCTGATATGCCCTATGCTCTGCAGGGTGGCTACTTCTTTGGCGACAAACTCCCGCCGCTCGGACGAGAGGAACCGCTTCTTCTGCTTCACCAGCCTAGAGTCCAAGCTGACTGCCAACCGGTGGCATATGATCTTGGGATCCACCCCTGGCATATCCCCGGGTCCCCACGCGAAGATCACGTTGTAGTACGTCCACCAAGTGCTTCTGTTGGCTCCCAGTTAGGCTCGCCCCGATCTTCACCTTCCGCTCGGGTACCCCAGGGTCGAGCGGCACCTCCTTGACTTCCTCGGCGGGCTTGGCCTTCGGTCGTGCTTCCAGCTTCCCCGGCGGGCTCGGCCTTCGCACGTGCACGACCAACGTCTCATCCCTTGGCATCCGCATTTCCTCCTGCGCGTGCACGACCAACGTCTCATCCCTTGGCAACTTCTTCGTGATTCGGACGTAGCACGACCGAGCTAGCTTCTGATACCCCCTCGCCACCCCGATTCTCGAAGGGGTGGGAAACTTCATGCATAAGTAGTATGGAGAGATCACACACCCCATGTCCTCAAGGCCGGGCCATCCTAGGACCATATTGTGCGCGTTGTTAATGCTTACAACCATGAACTCCATCTTCAGCTTGGCCTTGTGCGCGCCATCCCCTACTATCACGGGCACCGCGGTGACTCCTTCGGCTTCGATGGAGTCTCCTGTGAACCCGGAGAGGGGAGTGCGCACGTTGCATCTCCTTCTAAATAGTGAAGCACTCCTTGGTGTTATGAGTGTTGTTGCGATGGTACTCGCAATACTTGCTACCGACGGACACCGCGTAGGTCTCAATGTGAGGGAGCGGGGAGGGCGAGCTCTCGACCCGTCCCCACGGGTTCCCCTACAGAGTATACTCCAGCCGAGGGCGTCCTAGGACCCGCAGTGTAGTCCTTTTTCTTCTTCCTTTTCTTCGCGATCTCTCCCGAGTCCACGGAAGCTCGCTTGGCCGGAGCGGAGTCGGAAGCATCATCAAACTCCTCTAAGGCCAAGAACTTAGTGCGCACCAAGGTTTCCGGGTACGTGGGGGGAGGATTCTTGCGGAGCTCCTTCCTCACTTCTCCACGGGAAAGGGCTTCTTGGAACATTTCCACCAAGGCTTGGTCATCAGCCCCATGCACGTCTCGGGCTTCCTTCTCCCACCGAACTATAAAGTCACTAACCTTCTCTCCTTTGCGGATGCAGATGTTGATGAGGTGGGAGTAGGGCCTACGCTCGTCCACCCTCTTGCGGAGGACAGAGTCGAGTGCGAGTGTTGACCTTCATCCGGGAAGAACATCCGGGTATGGCCTACGCTCGTCCATACTCTTGCGGAGGACAGAGCCGAGCGCGAGTGTTGACCTTCATCCGGGAAGAACATCCGGGTATGGCCTACGCTCGTCCATCCTCTAGCGGAGGACAGAGCCGAGTACAAGTGTTGACCTTCATCCGGGAAGAACATCCAGGTATGGCCTACGCTCGCCCATCCTCTTGCGCAGGACAGAGCCAAGCGCGAGTTCGGACCTTCCTCGGTTCTCGTTGGACTCTGGCGACGCTAAGTCCGCTCGTCCCGTCGGCCTTTGCTGCGCTCAGGCCTCACCGAGAGTGCGTCTGAGGTCGCTGACTCCTCGACATGCCTCCGCTTGCCCTCGGATATCTGTCAGCGGAGGTCACCTGGGCGGCCTTCCGGTCCGCGGTTGAGCCTGTTGAAAGCTGACACTCGAGCCTCCTCGCCCCCCAAGCGTTTGAAGGCCGATACTCGACACTCGCTGGACTCGTCGTCCTCCCCGTCCGAGACGTCCTCCACCAGCACCTCCTCAATCACCAGAGCCTTGCCGGGCCTCCTCCCGCTCCTCCGGGTCTTCTTCCCCTTGTGTTGGGAAGTGGCAGCGTGCTCGGTATTTGGAACCGTGTGAAGCCTGGGTAGCCCCAGTGCCAGGTCCGCTCCCGCCCATGACGGAGAGGGCCGCGATAGCAGCTAGAGTTGCTCCATGGTCACTCCCAAACCGAACAGCGCCTGGACCGTGTCCGGAGCCGAGGTGATCCCTCCTTTTCTGTTGCCTTTGCCCGGCTCCTCTCTTACGACGTGGCTGGTGGTGGGAATGTTGCTCCTTGTCTGCACCATTCTCGCTTCTCGGAGTTAACCTACAAGTATGTTTCTCTCCTCTCAATGAAAGCACCAATTTGATGGCTATAAACCACCAAGTATATCAAATAATATGAATTTTAGAGAGAGAGAGAAGGCAAAGTAGGAGTTTATTCACTTAGAATTCGGATTCTTTACAATGAGGGGTCTCACCCAGTTTATAGGGGATACAATACACTTGGTCAAAACCCTCTGATCGAGGTTCGTCACTTAGCAGACGTCATCAGCTGCTCCGTCTTGTCCCTTTCATCCCATCGCTATCGCTAAGTCTCTATTGCAGGTCGCTATCTTCATGTCGTTGTCATGCAGCCCGGGCTTGGCTTGGCAGGCCGAGCCCGAGCCGGGTAGCTGAGCAGAGCGCGCGTGCTAGGCGGGTATGATCGAGCCGAGCTCGTGTGCCAGGCGGGTATGACCGAGCCGAGCTGGGGAGGCCAAGCCGAGCGCGTGTAGGTATGACCGAGCCGAGCTTGGCGCTCTTCCCTACGACGAGGGGCCCAACTGACGTCAGCCCTAGGCTGACATGGGGTTATCCTCCGTCAGTCGGTTAGCTTGTTGTTTTATTCATTATTTGGGTTTATGCTCAAGTATTTTTGATAGTCTGTTAATTGGCATATTTAAAAAACAAAATCAACTTTGGTAACATAATTCTTTACATAAAACATGTATTACGATGTAACTATAATTTTTATATACTTTCGATAACAATACAAAAATATTTTAACTTAAGTTATAAAATACAAAGTAAAAGATTTGTACATGAAAGTAGTTACATGGTTTGCACCCATAATTTAAATATGTTTTTTTTTAGAAACACAACAACATATGTAAAAATATATAGGTAATTCTTGATCTCAAAATTCATTTGATAAATGAAATATTAATGAATTTGATCAATTTCGGATATAATCGGTTTCGGGTCTAATCGGTTCTGGGTTTAACCGGGTTCGGGTTTAATCGGATTCGGGTTTGAGTCGGGTCTGAATACATTCGGTTCGGGTTCGGTTTGGTTCGGATCATTTCGGGTGTTCGGTTCTATTTCGGTTCTTTAGTTTTCGGTTCTATTTCGGTTCGGGTTATCGGGTCCGGGTCAGTTTTGCCAGGTCTAGTTGTAACCACCTACAGACTCTTTGAAAAGGCAGTAAGACTTCATTGTTCCAATATTAGCCTTTGCATAATTCAACATGAAATTCTTATGGCCAAGATCAAGATTTCTATTTATTTACAACAAAGACCTAGAAGGCGTAGAAAACATGGAATAATTGTGGCATTCTTCGAAAAAGGTGATGGAATACCCAGCTGTGCCAGACAACCTAAATGTTGCTCGTGCCTTGCATCCTATGCGATTTGATACGCATCTGATTTTGTTTTTTGGAATAAAATCTTCAGATTCTTGAATAGGGTCCTAGAAGTGACAGAAACATTCTTTTGACCCTCTCTATTGTATACAACACTGTCGGATAATCACACCATCTTGAGACTTCGTTGACGTGCTCTTTCGTGCATCAAAACCAACCAATGATGAATAATCCCTATAAAATGAAATTCCATCCTCTAAATTTGTAAAAAGCATATCCACCATTGGTTTATCCACCATTGGTTTGGAGATTTCTGGGCACGGAGGGGCAAAGCCCTGATCGCATACGGATTGACTGTATTGCTCCTTCGATGAATCAGAATCTGGGTGTAGTGAGGGATCAAAATGAATTTTTATGAAATTAAAACCAAAAACGAATATAATTTTAATTATTTTTTGCATGAAGATGAAAATATATTTTGGATGATTGACAGTATCTTACAACAATCCTGAAACCAAAAAGATGAAATTAACAGATGGTATTGAAATCCATAGAGGTCTGATGTTATGGGATAATAATCGAAAGAGATGAAGTATGTGTATGTGTTTGATTGTAATTGATGAACAAGGTTGTAATATTTCGCCATTTCTAGGACAGAGGATGTCGATGATTTTGCGGAAGTTAG